TATATGGACTCGATTGTAAAAAATATATAAAACTTAGAAGTAAAAAAGACTGTTGAATAATTTGGATTTTTTTTTAAAAAAAAATCAATGTTTTCTGAAAAGATATAAAAGCAAAGTATTCACTAATTCAAAAAATTGAATAAAAAGAAATTCTTAATATTTGAGTTGTATTTTTTTTAAATTTTATTTTTAATGTTGAAAGAAGTGTATATGAAGCATAATTATATTTTTAAATTAATAATTATCAAGTTGGATTGAAGATAATAAATTTTGATAGATTAATGAGGTATATTTTTTCTAAGAGTGAAACCAAAGTTTTTTGGATTTTTTTACTAAAAGTTTAAATAAATTATTTTTATATATCACATTATCATTACATTTGGTTTTTTGAATAATAAACCATTTTTTCTCAAAGGCTAAGTTAAATTAGGTTTTTCACACAAAAAAAGAGTTGTGAATCAATAAATCAAAATTAAAATATCTAAAATGTGATTTTCAATGTTGAAAAATGTAAGCTCTTTTTACATTTAAAATCATTATTACTTAGAATGATTTTGAACAAAAGAAAATTTATAACCATCAAAATTTTATTATGTGTAAACTCGAACATAAGATAATGTATGAAAAAATCAAAATTATCTTGGATAAATGCTAAAGTTGAGATTACAAATTTTGGATGATATTTATTTTTTTTCTTCAGTTACTTTATGATTTAAAGAATAAAAAAGTTGTTTATAATTTGCAATAAGAGAATAAACTTGAAAATTAAAAGATTTTAGCCTCAAAATCATTTAGAATATTTATAGCAAATTAATTTAAAATCATGCAACCATGCTAAACAATCGAGTTATGTCATTTTTGTTGAGGCTAAGTCATATTTAGAAGTAACCTTGAGCTTGCTAAGTTTAGCTAGCTCATCGCATGAACTTGGGGTATTTAATCCTAGTAATTTATGTACCTATATACATACTTCTCAATGTATTTTCATAGGTGTGATTCCTTGGTCATATACGTAGCCGTTAGAGTACGAACCACGTTACATTGGTGTCTTGAACTCAAAGCAATTTGCGAATATTACATCATGGGCAAGCAACACATGTGGGTCTTTGGTGTTGGAACACATAGTTCCAAGTCAATACTTGAATGTATACATAGTGATGTGGGGACATTCTACTCTTGGATAATTCTTTAGAAAATTGTACCATGTATCATTTATAGATGATTATTCAAGTTATGAGTAATATACGAGGTATATGTGTATACATGGTAAAATTACTCAAGGTATGAGTAATATACGTGAGCTCATGTGAAATGGATCCCGATGCAGATCTTGGTGGTAGTAGCAAATATTTAAATGAAAACTTTGAAGATTGAAATGGAGAAAGTTTATGTGTGAACAACAATTAGATATGGGTTTAGTGATACTAAGAGATGAGAAAGTCCTTTGTCAAGAAGGCATATTGCGCTGTTGACACATGACCGTGCATAGAAAGAAGATCAAGTCAATTTTTTCAAACCGAGAGGTGAGAATGGATGATGACGTCACCGTATCCAAAAACACCTGTGTGGGTTATAAAAAAAGATATATATTTTTGTAACGACTTACCCGTCATGAAATTGCATTATGCAAAGATAGGAACCAGCAGTTCGCAAAGCATTGCAATTTTTGTGGTTTTTGATGCGTTCTGATGGTACTTGAAAATCTCGAGGAGTGAGTACTTATCACGCTTGGTCGAACTCATAATTGCATCAGATCTCCAAGGTGAACAAGCTCTAGTTGATAGAACAATGTAGCTAAGGGAAGTCATCAAAACAAATTCATAATTTCAAAAAAATGATTGGGTCTGAGGTTAGGATTCAAAATTTTGCGTCTAAACTTCGGCGTACTGTCTACGGTTTGCCCAAGATGCTTGCGCAGTGAGGACAAATTGTTGAGTGCTTGTTAGACGAAGGGTGTAGAATGTCGGTGACTCTTTTGGGAGCTTTCTTAGCGAAAGTCTTCTTGTGGGAAAGGGGGAGGAGAGCTCAGCTTTCCTCAGATGAACAACCAATTCAAAACTCGTATGGACAAGAAGAATCTAACTGTTTAATTAAAACAAAGCATTGCGTTGATTTCCATGGATGTTAACACAATGTGATTTCTATCTAATGCTCTCAATGTCAAAGTGAAAAAAATCATCAAGTGCGTTTAAATGGCGGAAGTAACTATGATTTTATTAAGGTAGCCAAATGTTTCGTCATCTAATTAATGACGTGCATGAATAACTATGATTTTATTAAGGAAACCAAATGTTTCGTCATCTAATTAATGACGTGCATGAATAAATTAACAAGATTTCCATTGTTGATATCTACCATTCAGCAAAACCACAACCAAGGAAACATCTTCTAAAAATTATTAGAATAAAAGACCATGTTGAACTTCACTTTTGTCCAACTTTGTAAAACAAGTCAAGAGATGTAGAATAACTGGGAGTTCTGTGAGGATGTGAAGTGAAACACCAATACTTTTGACGTTATTTTACTTATTCTATGAGGTGAAGATGTGATTATGGCCCCATTTTTGGCCTTACACTCGCTTGGAGACAAGTTGTGCGATCCTGGTGGAAAAAATTGTCAATGAGCAGTTTGACTGAAACAGCTATATTGTTTAAAAATATCTGAAGTAGGCATATCAAGAAGTGATGTGAAGGTTTAAAGACTATGAAATCCAATAACATGTAATGTTATTGTTCTTTTAAAAAGCCCAGTTCATTGAAAGAGGTAAAGAGTTCTTAGGCTTTCCGTACTGAAAAGAAATAATATCCACTCACGGATATTATTGTGGGATAATTTGTTCATTATATGACTAATGATATGTCATAAGAAGAAGCATCTTTATGGAGCAAGTTCATGAGCAACATGAACTAGAGTAGTATGCTATCGTTGATGAGACTCACGTATCTACACGAGACGATCAAGATCAACTAGTATTTTTTACTACGAAATCATCGAATCGTGCAAGTAAAGTTTCCAATAGATTTGGTGTATCTACTAACTCAAGTATTCTCAAAGATAATGACATTGATATAGAGGATGATATGATATTGCATTGATTTTGAAAATAATATACCTTTTTTTACATGGAAGCTCAAGCTTTGATCAATAAGATTGAGTGAGATGTTGCTATAGAGCGTGAAATGAAGTCACTATTTGATAACAAGAATTGAAAGTTACTTGAACTTCTTAAGCATAATGTGTTGATTGATTCCAAGTGGGTGTATAAGATGAAGTACAATCCAAAAGGCAAAAATCTTCAGAACCATGTTGGTGACTAGAGGTTTCATACATGAAAAAAATGTGGAATACAACAAATTTTTTTCACCCGTATCGAAGTATGCTACAATTCGTCTAGTATGTGCACTAGTTGCGATATTTAATCTTGTTATGGATCAAATGGATGTGGTTACATCTTTTCTCTATGGATATTTAGAGTAGGAAATTTACATGAGAAAATTAGTTGGCTTTGAGTTGAAATGTTAAGAGAAGTTGATTTGTAAATTTTTGAAATCATTACATGGACTGAAGCAAGCTCATAGGCAATGAAATAGTAGTTTTGATGAATTAATCAAAAAGCGTGTTTCATTGTGTCTTCACGCATGCGCATGAAGACACAAGGTTATTTACGAAGTGTATATGATACTTGTGTCTACATGAAGCAGGTGAATGATGAAATTTTCAATCTCATCTAGCTAGCTCACCGTATGAACTTGAAGTATTTGACCCTAGGGACTTCAATACATATATACATACTTTTAATATATTCTTAAGCGTGTGTTTCCCTAATTGTGGAAGTAGCTATTCATAGGATGAACCATGTTACATTTGTGTCTTAACTTCTTGTGTTTAGTGTCATTTAAGTACTAAATATCTTGATATGATTTACACTCGTTTGTTGTAAAATTTTGATGCTTATAATTTTCTTATGCTTGCATGTTAAAATTTACTCTTTTAGATTGCATATTATTGAGATGTTTCATATTAATCTTGATATATTTGATAATGACCATAATGTAAAATACTTGGTAAGAAAGAACTGATTATTTCAAGATATCACGTGATTGTCACTAAAGACGGATACTTCAACCAAGTATGTATTTTTTACCATCAAACTTATTTTTTAGACTAAGAAATATTGAAAATGAGATGAATAGATTTCATCATGTTTAGATTGAGAGAATATTAATACTTCTAACATTTGAACTGCGCTTGAACATATGTTTTGAGAGATAAAGTTGGTAATTAATGCCATGTATCTCTCATTTATTACAAAATTGTGAGTATTTGGCAATTGCAAACACTTATACGATCTACAGAAAAAACTGTTGGTTTCTAATGTTAGTTATATCAAATTTATTTGTTTTGATCAGAATTGTATTTTTATTTGCCGTTATGCTTTGCATAGCTTTGATTTATTCACCCAAAATCATTTACAATTAATGTCTTTATTTCTTTAGTGATGTTTACTCTATATACTAAGGGGACTTTCCATCTTCCAGAGCACCCGTTGTATTCTATTTAGGTACACTTAAAATAATCTATCACTGAACTACTGAAAACTTTGAATTTTACCACTTAAGTTGATAAAAAACTTTGTGACTATTATGTCTTTTATACATATTTTTATTTTAGCACCTCTTGTAGGAATATTGGAGAAAGATTGTTACGTTGTGAAGATTAGAAGAAAAGAGACACACATTGAATTTCTGCAGGCGAATCAAATGTTTCTCGCAATGGTCTTTGATTCGATGTTAGACAGACCAGAACAGCGCCACTGAAATTGGCACAATATGTTCTGCTGTCTCACAAACAATGCTTCTACGAAGACTTCGACCGGAAGTCTTCATGAGGAACGCAGCTCAATGTGGCGGATATAGTTGTCCTTTTCAGAGTTAGAAAAGGACTGCGGCATGGACGTAGTTTACAAGACCGAAACATGAGCTTCTAGTTGGAAGGTAGTACAAGGCAAAGCCCCACAGATCTACCGCGCGAAGGACGTAGTTCAGGGGCAACTGATCGATCTAAAACCCTAGTACTTTGTCTTCCCTGTCTTTCACTGATAACCAGGGAAATTGCATTCCCTTAACACATTGGATGACCGTTCCAGCTAAGCTCGCCTGTGTCCGAGCGAATTGGAAGATCTATGGACTGAAGAGCTGATTTGAGGGGTGAACGTTGCAGGAAACCTGGATTGAGCATTGGTGCGTTGATTTATGCACCTCTTGTTCTTGTAATTTCATACTTTTTACCTGGGAATTGTCATGACTACGCTATAATCATCTCTGAAGAAATAATCGGAAAATATTTTGCCATCCTTGCGCGATCAGATTTTCGAGAGGCATTGAAGTTTTGCCTCGTGTATGTTGTCTAGATGTTTCTCTGGAAGACTAACCTGGTCAGATTATCCTTGTTCTCAAGTTTACTGCATTTCGGGGATCTAGATATACAAATTCGGATTAGTGATAGGATCGTTTCTTGTGCAGAAGGGCAAAGCTCGCTCGCAAAATACCGAGGTCGTAGGCAACGTAATTTTTGCACGTATGGCAGAAGCCGGGGAGACAGCGCTTCCTGCGCTGGTGGAAGCAGTTGATGGCTCTCCTGCTGCTGCAGTTGCCAGTGGGAAGAATAAGGAGAAAATTAACAGCAAGGCCAAGGCTAAGCCAAAAGTACAGGCAACGGGGCAGGTTCCTTCAGGAGGTAATTCTGAGGAGCAGAAACGAATATTGGAGAAGAGGATAAACATCTTTGAGAAGCTTCAGGCGGAACAGAAGAAGCACCGGGAAGAAATCGGGGGAGAAGCCATCAAAATCACTCTCCCTGATGGAAACGTGAAGGAAGGAAAGAAATGGATAACTACGCCTCTCGATATTGCGAGGGAGATATCTAAAGCCTTGGCCGAAAATGCCTTGATTTCAGAGGTATGTAGTCGGAAGGTTCACATTACTTCTCAGTGGGGCCTCCGTCGCTGGTCAACTAGTGGAGCAACTGAAGGGCCGAAGCAAGGATCTGTGAACTTGGAGTTGTCCATTGGTAATTTTGTTGAGAAGCTGAGCTTAAGACTAGGTTTGATTTCTTGAAAGTGGGCTCATTGTAAACTACATAAGTAAATTTCGTTCAAATGCAGGTCAACGGAGTGCTGTGGGATATGGGAAGAGCTTTGGAGAGCGACTGCTCGCTTAAGATTTTCAACTTTGACACAAATGAAGGCCGTGACACTTTCTGGCATTCAAGTGCACACATACTCGGCGAGGTACAGCACTTCCCTTTTCCAGCTGCTCCTGCAGCAATGTGATTCAATCTTAATTCAAGTTCAGTCATGTTTTACAGCCTCCGTTTTAGTCTGGGTTTTAGAGAAGACTTAGGATTCAATTAGGACTTAGGACTTAGGATCGTAGTACGATTTAGAACAAAATAGAAGAACTTGAGTGCCGTTAGACTGATAGTCTTTTCATGTTTGATGCTCATCTGTGTAATTTGAGTCGTCATAGCAGCAAGAGCAACGCAAACACTTCTCTGAATTGTAGACTCATATTGTCCACACCTTATGGTCTTACATCAGCTGTTAGTGAGAATCTCAGACCATTATCCATAAATATCCAAAACAAGAGTGTATGGTTTCACTGCTGTGGTTTGTTGGTTGTGTATAGTGGTGGTGAACAATTACTCAAAAGTTTGATATTAGCAGAATCGGAGATAACATATAAACGAAGCAGCTGTACCATGCTGTAACTTGTTTATCTGTTACTTGTTGACGTGTTGGGAAAATAACACTGGAGAACAGCGTCACTGACCTTGTAATTGTTGCTCTTCAGTCGTTGGAGCAGGAATATGGATGCAAGTTATGCATTGGGCCTTGCACAACAAGAGGAGAGGTTGGTCGCTTAGTGCTTTTCATACAAGATTGCTTGGAGTAAATGTAAAGAATTCACTATGTCAGCTGTTGACCTAGTTCTTTAAAGTTGCAGATTACAATTTTCTCCTGCGAAACAGCAGCAAAGATACTCTTAAAAAGTCCCTTCGAGCATTTTTCTAGGGATATAGAAATGCTTGTATCATAATTATCTGATGGCCAGTATTCGATAGGCCTGGGATTAGAAGATTTTATCAAGACACCGAAGAAACATTCATTTTTTTCAGGGGTTCTATTACGATGCTTTTTACGGAGATGTTACACTGAACGAAGAACACTTCGACAGGATTTCCAAACAAGCCGACAAAGCTGTCAAGGTACAGAATCTTAGTCCTGAGTTCCCATCTTGAATCAGTGTGTGACTGAAGCTAGAGCATTAAATTTTTGTTTGGAATAGCTAGTCTACATTTTATCAAGAGTTTTGCATGATTGAAAGCCCACAGTTTTTCTTCTTCTAATTTACTTTTACATTTTTATTAAGTACCGCAATTGGGTTCTCTGTTGAGATAACAGGAAAAGCAACCCTTCGAACGTATCGAAGTGACGAGAGAACAGGCTCTTGACATTTTCTCGGAGAATAAGTTCAAGGTACGTGCTGCATTCAGTCCTTAAGCATTTTTCCGATGTCCTTGTGCTGGTCCATTCAACACCATGTCATATTCCATATCTCTTTTCTGTAGCCCTTTGAGACTTTGTGTTGTTTATAATCTCCGGACCACATGAATAATTTTAAATGGTTTAAAGTTTTGTTGTTTGCTCCAACCAGGTTGAAATCATTCAAGAGTTGCCAGAAGACAAGACAATTACTGTGTACAGATGTGGACCACTGGTTGATCTTTGTCGTGGACCACACATACCAAATACGTCTCACGTCAAAGCTTTCTCGACACAGAAGGTTGAACTCGCAGTCTGCCGAACCTCTACCTTGTACATGCGCTTATGCTTTTGGCAGTTTTATTTTTTTGGTTTTTGTTTTTGTTTCTTTTTGCCAAGCAAAGAGAATGCTATGTGATACTGGTTACCACTGCCACACTCTTAAATATCATACCTTCTTTATATACTTTTGAGAAGTTGTTCTGGATTTGGTTCTTCATCAGTGGTCTGAAAGTAACGCCTCTCAATGTATATATGGGGGCAGGCATCAGCTTCTTACTGGCGAGGTCAAGCTGACCGTGAGAGTTTGCAGCGAGTTTATGGAATCTCGTTCCCAGACAAAAAGAAATTAAAGGTAGGATGTAACTTTTTTTCAGATATTTGTTTCTCGATATCTGCATCTTCTTAATTTTTGGTGAAATTACTGGCGAAAGCACTTACCGATTTCATTTTACTTCAACTCGTCGTGTACCGTGGTCCTCTTGCTTGGGTTTTTGTTACTTTTTACATAAAGGGTTTGAGTGAATGAATTCATGAAGGTATTGATATGTGAGATATTTATCTTCCGATCTTGATTCCTCCAATCTTTCTAGTGGATCGATTTACTTAAATACATGTTACCTTTTCCAGGAATGGTTAACTGTACAAGAGGAAGCGAAAAAACGTGATCACAGGGTTGTTGGTCTGCATCAAGAGCTCTTTTTCTTCCATCCTTTGAGGTGAAAAAATATTTGAGGCATTGTGATCTTGGGAAAAGTGTGTTTCAAAAGCTTATTATGGACTTCATTCAATCACATTTATTTTTTGAATTGCAGTCCTGGGAGCTCTTTCTTTCTTCCATATGGTACGAGAATCTACAACAAACTGATGGAGTTTATACGTGCTGAATATCGAAAGAGAGGATATGAAGAGGTTTGTATCCATTGTTTTCATATTGAGAAATCAGTCCCGTGGTGGATGTTCTATGCTGTTTGACATAGGCATAGATGCTTAAATCGTTTATTAATGTCAAAATGGGTCGATCAACTATCTTACCTATCCAGTCTTATAATTTTGGAACAGGTCGTGTCACCAAACATATACAATATGCAACTCTGGGAGACGTCAGGACATGCGGCAAATTACAAAGAGAATATGTTTTGTTTTGAGGTCGGGGTCACCACCTTAATATTCTTCGTTTGATAAAACACATTCAACGTTTCTCCCCCCTTGCAATAGATTATCAAACTTGTGAAACTGAGGCTTTGTTTACGTTTCATCGTTTAGAATATTTTTGTAATTCCATTTGATCTATTATTATTTCTATTCATGATTCTGCTATATACAACTTGCCTCGTTACTTATTTTTTGGTGAGTACCCGTGACTCCAAATACTCACACGTTGAAATGCTTGGCTTTTTATTCCCATGCCAAAATCTTGAGAAACTATTACATTGTTGACATTTTCTTGCTCACTCATTCTTCGTAGTAATTTTTCGTAGTAAAGCTGTCGATCTTGTGTTCACTCAACATGGCCATACTTGTATCAATTTGTTGCCTGGAGTCTGAACTTGGATTACAATCAATGGTATGTGTTTGTTGCAGGTTGAGAAACAGGAATTTGGGTTGAAGCCAATGAACTGTCCTGGGCATTGCTTAATTTTTGATCACCGGGTACGATCATACAGAGGTGAGCAAGCAGATCACCTTACCTTCATCTCAGAATTTGCTGCTGTAATGTGTTCAAATTTTTGGCTCTCTGAAAGTAGGGTTCTTCAAATTTTCAATATTTTCACAGTATGAACTTAAGTATATTCTGGTTTTTCCCTTAGCTAGCCCTTCACTTGCACATTGGAGGGAGCCTAGGAATGTCTGTGTCTTCTGTGGATGTAGGACCAGTATTTTGCGATTTCTATAGTTATCATGTTATGTCTTATTCTAGTGATCCATTATTTCGAGGACGCGTATGAGCAATTGATCAGTTAGTTTTACGTTGTCTAGTCCGACTTGAAATTTTGTATTGCACATTGCAGTGAGACTGCTGTGTTTTCCTGTCTCTTCCATGTAAGCGTAACGGATGCCTATAATCTGGTAGTCGTGTCCAAATTGCTTATAGTGATACCTAGTCTGACGACTGGTCTCTTATAGAGAATGATCATTAACGTACAAATATTTCGCGGATACTTCTGTTTCGTAATGCCTTCATTATTTTTAGTAAGTAATTTCTTGCGGATGCATGCTGGTTGATCACTAAACAGCGTTATGTACTGTATCACTTGTCTTATTTATTTCTTACTCACATCCATTGTTTAGTTCCTGGGTCTTGCCATCTGTGTTTTTCTTGTCTGTCACCCTGTATGTGTCATGCCTTTATTGGTAGATGCCAGTGAACAAACTACTTATAGGCCATAGTTGATCAATTTTCTTCAGAAGTTTCGAGCTTTTTCTAGCTTGACTGAAAGGTACTACTTCTGTCCCCCAAAGGCAGGCCAATCCTATGTTGCAGATTTAGCAGCTTTTGGTGTTTGTGATGTAAATATCTTACAGGTTGCTCTTATTGGGTCGATAAGGTGATGCACACCTGTAATATTCATTATTCGGACTCATTCTTTTCTGTTTATTCCTGTTTTTTTACTCTTCTTAATTGCATTACAGTGTACAGACGTTCTTTTGAACCTCCTATGCAGATTTGACACTGGCTCATCTTCGATAGGTTGGGTTATGTTTGTTACCTGGCTTCCGCATCACCGGACATGGGAAACCTTCTGTTGATAGGTTGGATCATCGATAAACATATCTCACGGTAGGAAATTGTGTTTGCAGAGCTACCCATTCGGTTGTCTGACTTTGGAGTGCTTCATCGGAATGAACTTAGTGGCGCTCTGTCAGGTCTCACTCGTGTGAGACGGTTCCAGCAAGTAAGACATCAGATAGATATCATTTTGTGGTAGATGCAATAGCAGTAGCCAAGATAAGGCTTGTCCAACATGCCTATAGCAGTTCTGGTCTGTTTACCTAAGTAAAGCCAGTCCTGCCTCATGCAACGTCAAGAAGATGAACTCGAGAAATAGTAAGAAATATTAATGCTCAATCATAGCGTCAGGATCTGGTTTTATCGTAGGAGCTACCTTCATACACTCGGTTTCTTTAGCATTTGTTTGTTGAAGTGCCCAAACGATCGTTAAGTCACCGTTGATCATTGTTGCTCTACGAAATTTTGCAGGACGATGCTCACATATTCTGCATGGAGTCACAGGTATGAATTGTGGATATATTCCACAGGCAAATTATGTATTTTTTTCATCTCGAAGAGGTAGTATAGAGTTTTCTCAAAAGAATAATAATTTTACGAAGAAAAGTCTTTGGTATATACATTGCTGAGCTTACTTTGTTGTACCAATCTTTTTTCAGATCAAGGACGAAGTTAAGGGTTGTTTGGAGTTTCTGGAATACACATATAACATATTTGGCTTTACTTATGAGCTCGAACTTTCCACGGTAAGTCGTTACAAACCGGATACTTTTGAAGGTCTGGAGATTGTGAATCTTTTGCTATCCTTACTTCGAAAGTAGCGCAAGCCGCATCCTCTGCTCAAATGCCTTGTAATTTACTGATATTTCTCGCCACAATCAGAGACCGGAGAAATATCTGGGAGAGTTGGAGACATGGGAGCGAGCTGAGAAGGGACTAGAAGAGGCTCTAAATGGTTTTGGCAAGCCATGGCAGGTAGTAAGCTTTGGATATGACCATTTAATTCCGATGCTTGTCCAATCGAAGAGAAACGTCCGGACAATATGATGATGATCTGTGAACATGGCCTCTGATCTTTGTGCCTGCCTCTTGGTTCAGATTAATGCAGGTGATGGTGCATTTTATGGGCCGAAAATCGACATCACTGTTTTTGACGCGTTGAAAAGGAAATTTCAGTGTGCCACGATTCAGGTGGGTGGTCATAAGCTGGTCAAATTTGCACTTCTATATTTTGTTCTACAAGGTGAATGATACGTAGCTTGGAAAGTCGATAAGCCTGCTCTTTATTAGGCAGTGTAGTGTATAAGTGTTTTGAAGAAGTTCAAGAAGGTATGTCGTGCTCTTCGGACAGCATACTCGGGCCAAGTATGTTTGAGTTAATGGTTCTCATACGTCTTGCTTGGGGAGTTTCGTCTTTGTCCAGATCCTTTGGAATAATGTAGGCAGGAACCACATGTTTGGTATACCAGCTTTCATTTATATGGAGTAATGATACCTGGAGGATGACATTTGATTATTTAAATATCTCAGTCTGACGAGATCCATCATTTTTTACCTCTATGCAGTTAGATTTCCAGCTTCCAATTCGATTCAAGCTGAAGTACTCGACCCAGGATGAGGCAGAAATGGGAAGACCTGTGATTCTGCACAGGGCAATCCTAGGTTCAGTCGAGAGAATGTTTGCCATTCTTTTAGAGCATTATGCGGGCAAGTGGCCGTTCTGGCTGAGCCCCCGGCAAGCAATCGTTTGTCCTGTTTCAAAGAAGTTCGTGGACTATGCTATGAAGGTAAATCGTCCATTGAAAACGAAGTTCATTCGTGGTTGATGTGTATGGGTTTAGCTGATTCTGATTGAAGATTATATCCGTAATCGTGTGCTTGGTAGATGGTCCCGATTGTATTCTTATGTCAACTTACGTAAAGTGGGCACTGAATTTTTGCTGGTGACCAGGTCCGAGATCAACTACACAATGCAGGGTTTTATGTGGAAGCAGATACCTCGGATAAGAAAATTGACAAGAAGGTTGTTTTCTTCTTTCATGATAAGACTTGTTTTTAAGCCATCAGTATCTCTCTTGTTTCTCTTATCAAAGTGTAGCCCGCTACATTGAAATAGATGGTCTCACGTCACAGTACTTTTTTATGAAACGTATTGATCTCCTTCCTGCATGTAATCCAATATATTTGAAAAATTTATCACTGAAAGGTATTCTTTGATTACTTCAGGTCAGGGAAGCACAGTTGGCTCAATTCAACTATATTCTTGTAGTGGGGGAGCTCGAGGAATCGTCAGACACGGTAATAGTTCTCTTCTTGTAACCCATCTGGGGTGTGGAGGGTCACCACTGTAGTCTTCTCTCGACCTCTGGTTTAGTTGTTGATTCTGGAGCATGTCCAGGATGATCAACATGATCAATCTCGGCTGGGATGATTTTTTTTTTTAGGGGGAATGTATCCTTCGCATTCCTGGTTTCTAATTCTGAGCTTTGATTATGGATCCAGGTTAATGTTCGCACGAGAGATAACCAAGTACATGGTAAAAAGCCTGTGACTGAGTTGCTGGAAGAGTTTAAGGCAGAGGCTGCTGCATTCCGTTAAGGCGATTCTTATTGGTCTCCGTTTACCAGCTCACCACGGTCACGGTGCGATCTGAAGCTAATTTTTTTCAGGAGTAATGTCCAACTTCCGTCAGATTTTTCTTCATCTCCAGGGTGGATCTGCTGAGATACTCTGAGGTGTTGTCGTTGTCTTTCAGGGCACATGAAGGAGGGTGTAAATCATGTTCCTATTCATTCAAGAAATTATATATCGTTCATATTCATCATGTTGCACTCTCAAACATCTACCTATTCAGCCGAAACGACTTCTGCTTGAAATGATTGCTCACCACACATTTTCACCAGTTGGCTTGCGCGTGACCCAACCTTTGACTATGTGAGGTAAACGTTTTCATCCCAGGAAACACTGAACGTTTCCTAGGCCCACCAATCACCCCGTTTCGAGCAGTTTTCCAAGCAGCTGTCGAGTTTAAGCCAACTCTAAAACGTTGTCAGTACATATAATCTGAGATAAAAGAAACTGTACGACTTCATGAATTGAAAGCCGTCATTATTCAAGTATGTTAATTATCAAGCCATGTGTAGTTTTAGTCAACAATTGGTCATTGAGATATTTGATTTGTTAAGAGGGGGAGTTTGAGTTGGCCGTAGACAAAACATTAGGGTATTTAAGCGCAGTGTCAATGGTACCTGTGGAGCAAATTACTGATTGTGAGAATGAACCCTACCGGACTATAGGTACAGTAAATGAATATCTAGGTTGAGGTGAATCGATTGGAAGCACCTCAAAGAAAGGACGTCAACACCAAGTTGAACAACTTGCTGTCTTAAGTGGTCTGGAACGACGGACTGCCAGCGATGGCAGTCTGTCGTTAAATTGCTGTCACCCTAAACCCTAATCCCTAAAACCTAAAACTATGCAGGCCTAAAAATATATAAGAAAATCTGACGCTTTTAACAGGAACTTGAGGGTCATCACCAAGGCAACTCAGAACACATAGATAAACTCGTAGAGACGTACGGCTTGAAAGTGTTGTGAATGTGTAATCGGATTTCCCCGAACGCTGTACATCTCGACTCTATTCCTACACACGGACTTTCCAACTCGGTATCAGGCAAGGTTTAAGACTTTAATAACAGGAAGTTGTTAGGCTGGCCACAGAAAAAGATCTTCCACAAGAAGTGTAACTATTGACCACAAAGCTTGTCTGACAGTGGAATTAAGACGAGCAATATGATACACTTGAATTGGAAGATTGTAAGGAAGAAAGAGCGGCTGAGATATGAATTTTAATTTGCGAGTTCAAATGCTATCTGATATGAGTGGCAGTTGCAAACGTGTGTTTACGTGATAGAAATGAATGGAATCCCCAACATAACGTTTTCATTATATTCAAAGTAAGATATAAAAAGAGATGTCCTCTTTAATATTAGAACATTGCAAGTGCCGATTTGCTAAAATCGGCACTTGCAGAGAAGAAGTAAAGAACAGAGAACTAAAGACGGGAGAGATCTAGAGAGTGTAGAAGATCTATAAAGTACACTACTTTCGTACTTCTTGCTAAGTAAACTCATTTTTGTGTAGCTATTAAGATTTCAGATATAAAAAATGCCTAAATCTCTAAGAACTTAAATGGCACTTGTAGTATAGTTAAGTTATGTATGCAAGAGCTGTTTTGTCTAGGAGCACTTGTCCTATACTTTCTTTTCTATCGTTGTAAATTCATTTTACATATTCATCTTTTACATTAGAATAATTATTTCCTTATATGTATTTTTGTTCAACACTTTTGTTTGTATGTATCGATTGGAATACTTGGAGAGATTTCCGACCCTTTGAAAACAATATATCAATTAATGTTTGAAATATTCTGTACAATTACGCGTTCCCGCTATTAAAAGTCTAAATGTATGAATAACTAGTTTCTAGAAATATCTTTTGCAAACTAGGTCGTATGGGTGCAAATAACTAAGTCCATAGACTTGTATGGGTCAACGAACGAACCAATGAGGGAACCAATGAGGAAGTTCGCGCTTCCACCAAGTCAATTTGATATAGTAAAATCGGATTTTTTAAAAAATCAGCTTAATTTCCTCCTATCAGAGAACTCCGAGGTAAAGCTATCTTTTTAGACATTTATTGTGAGTGGAAGCACACATATTTTGAAATCTTATAGTTCTGATGAAGAGCGGAATAGATCTGATATATTTTAAAACGCAATTCATCTCTTGACTGTAACATCCGAAGTTTTAAAGATAATTAATGAGCAGTAAATTAAACGATAATAATATTTTCCAACACAAATGTCATTAGTATAAAAGTTTCTCTAATATTTTATATTTAAATAAGAAGAGATTTAGGTTCTCTACATGTAAAATCAGTTCGTTATATGGCATTGCTTTTCAACTTTTTTGTACTTTCCCTACCAACTGGTTTCTTTACTTTTGGCGCCTCCACGTTCTTTACTCTTCAATTCAGCAAAATGATGAAGGAAGTCCTATAGTGGTTGAAGGTTATAGGTTTTGAACTCATGTACTGTCGAACGTGGTAGATGATTTTTTAGGTCGCTTTTAGTGTATCCTCTTTTGAATGTGATGTCATCTTGTGCGTCGAGGGTAGTCCAGGAATGTTGTTTAAAAAATACTATACGTTGCGTTGTGAGGAGGACATTTTTAATGCATGCTTTGATCATGTTGTGACTATCGATATATCTACTAAACACATGTCAACGTCTTCATGACTTCCATAGTCATGAGTTGTTCGTACATGGTTCCATTGCAACAAAAGGCAAAATTTGCTGGTAATGTGCTGCGCTATTTTTAAATTATCTGCATGAGCCCCTCAAAAACAAATCCACTTTGATACAAACTATTATAAGCGGAGCTGAGCTAAATTATGCACACATGTCGCAGTTGTATAAAAAGTGGTGAATACAGCAAATTCAAAGAAAGAAGTTAATGTTCACATCGCAAAATGTCAAAGAATCGACTTACAGAGCCATGACTCATTTCCTTTCATGTCTGCAGGAATCGGCCCCTTCTTTATGGCCAAGCCGGCCATCCCTGTGAAAAATGAACCACGAGCGCCCCCTGCAACCATACAGCGGCAACTGGGTGATACTGCCGATTTGTCGTTTCCTGCAGACGGTGCCATGACACAAATAGATATACAGACATACATACTTCGCTTTAGGGGGAAGGCAAACCGAAGCTTTCGTCTGAAAACCGTAGATCTGACGAGCTCAGCTTTAAGTTAAAGCTCGAGTTTAGTAGCGGGCCCATGAGTTCGACTTAGCTTCGACGCTCGAGAGAAAAGCAGAGAAAGTGGTTCATCACGGCAATCGCCATAACGTAATATGTGAGGAATAATCTATAGAGTGAAGGTGGAACAAGTAAAAGTGAGGCATAGCTTCTAAACTCGTGGCGGATTGTACACAGAATTTTCTCGGAAAAATAATATAAAAAAGAGAATTAAAAAAACTATGATCCGGCTCTGGATGAGGCGAGTGCAACTAAACCACTCGGGGTGCACTCAGGTCGGGATCGAGGGCCGGGAAGTTACCGGGAATGAGGTCTTCAGCCTGGCTGCGGAGCGGTGATGGCGGGGACGTAGATACGGTGCGCGGAGTATGCCCTGCCCGGGAAGGCTTCGAGTACGCGGTGGACCAGGCAGCCCATTGTACGGCGCGCTGGAGGCCCTTGGCCCCTGGATGCGAAACCCCGTGTACCGATCGGATCCTGGTGCCCTTGCTCGGCCAAGCCCAAGCCCAAGCCCAGACAAAGCGAAGGCGAAGGCGAAGCAGGCAACGAAGGAACCGGCAACGGATTCCGTTGTCGCGCCGCTCACATTATATCCCTTCCCGTTCCTAGGAAGCCGAGGCCGGTCGCGCCGTAGCTCCGTCGACGGACGAAGTCGCCACACGCTGGACAGAGGTGGGGAACCGGCTGGCCTCGGAGGTCAGGTCCCTCCCAAGGTCCCAGAGACGAAGTACCGGCTCTGTAATACTGTCCGCGTGTCGGGACAGACAGACAGACAGACAGACGGAGGGACGATGGGCAAGAAGGAGGAGGATTTTGGCTCCAAGCGGGGGCCTTGCGGGCGGATACGGGTTTAATTTAGCTCCCTTGAGCGCCACGCATAGCGAGCGAGGCAGCGAGGAGGAAGCGCTGGTTGGGTTGGAGGAGGAGGAGGAGGAGAGATGAGATGGAGATGGAGATGGAGAGAGCGGTGATGCGGATGAGAGACATTTCTCTATTTTGGCGCTCTCGCTCGCTCGCTCGCTCGCTGCTGCCGCCGCCGCTACCACCGCCGCTCGCTCTTGTTCTCATTGACACACAAACCATCTCTCGCTTGCAACACTATCGTCGTCCACAGAGCGACCGAAGGAAAGAGTTGTTGCGGTTGCGGCTCCCTTATTTCTTTTTCCTCCTCCTTTTTTGTTGTCCTTTTTTTTTGGCTGCTGTTGGAGGGAGGGGAGGGGAGAGGGAGAGGGGGAGGGGAGGGGAGGGGTGGCAGGGAGGAAGGAGGAAGAAGGAAGGGGAAGGGGGAAGGGGGAAGGGGAGGAGTGTGGTGGTGTATTGCGATCCATCATCAGCACCATCATCACCGCTGCTCGCTTGCTTGGGCGCCGAGGGAAGTGGACGCCTTGCGAGACGGGAGACAGAGAGCCAGGGAGGCAAGCGCTGGCTTGTGTTCGACAGACAAAGGCAAAGCGAGCGAGGAGGGCAGGGGGTGGGGGGAGGGAGGGAGGGAGGGTAGACGCCCAGACAGAGGAAGGAAGGAAGGAAGGCAGGCAGGGAAGGGAAGGGAAGGGAAGGAAGGAAGGAAGAGGAGGAGGAGAAGGAGGAGGATCGCTCCGAGTTCCGAGTGAGAACGGACTCCAGCATCTGGCAGATGCTGTTGTCTCAAGGTTAGACAGATTTCGTTTCCCGGCTCAGGAAGATCTGTAGACCAGGCGGAGGAGCCTCCTCACACGCGAACGAAGCCGAGCAGACTTATCAATCCGAGCCTTTGGCAACAGCAGACTCACCGAGGGGAGGCCAGTGGTTTAGGCGAGCGAGGCAGGCAGGCAGGCAGGCAGGCAGGCAGGAAAACAGGGGGCGAGTGCGGCAGGGGTTGGAGGTATGGGAGGAGAGCCGGATGGGGCTGGTGCAACAGCAGGCGGCGAGGCTAGTGTCGGAGGAGCAGCGGAAGGCCCGAAGACGGTGCATGTGCGGTGTTCCAATGGAAATAAGTTCTCGTTAGAGGTGGATTTGTCAATCACCGTCAGGGCTTTGAAGGTCATGTTGGCCGAACGGTCCGAGATTCCTGCCGATCAGCAGCGGTTAATATACAAAGGCCGAGTGCTTAAGGACGACAATTCGCTCGATAGTTATGGTGAGTTGCATGCCCACAGTTTGGGATGGGAACGCTCATGTTTTCTTCCCTATTATCTTGGACAGGTTTCTCAGGTTCTCTCGCATACTCATTGTCTGTCTCTGACATTTTGTTATCAAATGGCTCTGTGAGTCGAACGGATCATCTAGATCAAGTGATAATTCGATGTCCTTTAGGGTCTTAGTGGACACTTGGCATTTTCGTGCTCATCTGTGCGGAAATTGCGATTTCAATCTTACAGTCATTCTCGGAATAGCAAAATAGGTCAAGTTTTAGAATATAATTTGTTGGTCTGTGTGAATGGATTCTTTACTTCGTCATGTTATACACATGTTGGCTCTGTTGGAATCGAAAGAGGTCTCTTCTTAGAGATCGGTTTGCATCTGTGCTCGCTTTTCTGTCGAAGCGTTCGAAATTGTGTACTCTTGAGGTCTTCTCCGCCTTCTTCCTTTCTGTGGAGGCTATATTTTGGAACTGAGAATTATAAAATTTTGTGCGCGGTTGTAGAATTTGAACTGTACGTTGAGTGGAGGCAAGGTAGTACGGGGCAACAAGTTGATCTGTAATAAATGCAGTCCTCATTCGTCTGCCCCCCTCAGTGTATAGGAAATTTGTTGTGGGAGTTTCTTGGAACTACATCACTGTAATTGCAGTTGGGGCACTGCCGCAATTTAATACGACCTTCTAGGGTTTGGTGTATGTAAATAGTAGATCTAGAGCTTCAACCTTTCTGTGCTTTTGTTTCAATCGTTTCTTCCGCTTGACATGAGAATATAGACTGCGTTTTTCTCTTACCGTCCACATCAGGTGCCACATGTTGACCCGATTCCAGTAGGCATGTGTTTAAGCATTCTGACATACGTGTGGGAGTACATGGGTCCTTGAAGTAACCGGACTTCAAGAATTTTGATTCCTTGCATTGTTGCTCTCGGTACTGTTAGATATTCTTCATGCAAAATCATTGAGGTTATCGTGGAATGAAATCTGTTAAAACTTTTGGGCAGGTTTCTTCCTCAAGGCAGTTGTGATTTATAGCTTCTTTTTGAAGCTGATTATGTTTCTAAGTTTTCTTGCAACGTTTAGTGTCGTATCAGGGTGTAACTCAGCAATCTCCTTATGTTTGGTTCTATACCTGTGTCGTCCTCTCTTTACGTCCTTCCACCTGGGTGGTTGACAATATACAAGTTTCCAGTTCCAATTGATTCCGTGAATGTAAATACTCCGTGATCTCATTAGGATCAAAGGTGTATGACATACAAGGCTGCTTCGTAATTTCGCGTATCAGTGCAAGCTTATCTTGTGGCTCGCTTTTTAAAGTTGGAGGGATAGGTTTCTGACCTATGGTTTCATTCTTGTGCGAGCGACGGTTTCTCAAAAGTAATCTGGAAGGCGAGCAGTGTAGATGCTTACGGTTAGTCGATGGTTTTCTTATTTTTTGTTTTAAACGGTAAATGCGGGACTGAATGAAACTCGCATCCGTGTGTCTTGACCTTCAACTGCTCTCCCGGTTCAAACCAGTGTATCCGTTTTTGTATTTTTCCTTGTGTATTGATGATTTGATTTCGGTTATTCATGTACCGTTCGTAATAATCCAGATTATTACTTTGTTGGTTTAATCATGTAAACATAGTGGTAGACACCCTTTGCTCTAGGGGTTTGAAGTAGCATCTACCAAGCAAATGACGTTCGTGCTTATTTGTAGAGCAAGTGTGGTATACCGGTTTGTCGATCTTGGCTGATACCTGGACTTGAATTTAGCCACTGTCATAATACGGTCTTGAATAATCGCATATAGATTTGTTTATTGCTTGTTATAAGCTGTAAGGTCATTTGTCCACTACCTTCTTCTGAACTTACTGTATAATATTACTTATCCCGTACCTTTACATGGATTGTATTGATTACTGTATTGTATGCCAATGTTGAGTTTCTTTGTGCCACTGAAGTTATGTCATAGGTGGAAAAACCATTGTGTCTGTGCATTTATAGTAAATTAGGGTCCTTCGCTTTTAAGTTCATCGACGGCTCTTTAGCCTCAGTGGCAGCGTATAACGACTGGACTTTAGTTCCTTGACGGTTTGTCATGTGCACGGAATGACCAGTCACTGTGTCCTTGTACCAGCGATTGAAGTGGGAAGCTCTTAGACAGTAGCTGCTTACATCACCTTTCCATCCAGATCGATTAAATCTCGGGAGTCTACAAATCTTTGATCGGAATCTTTGGTTTGCTTGCCTACTGATAGAAAAGAAAAGTTTGATAAAACTGCTGTGTACCAATACTCCATTATGTTTCACTACACATACTATTGTAAATTGCTTATACTCTCACTGAATTTTTGTCTTTCTGCTATGGCTACTTTCGTTTTCGTTCTCGCCGGACCTTATGGCATCTCAACTTTTTTTGTTTTTTAATCAATGTTTGCAATTTATTGACTCCAGATAGTTACAAATCCATACTATCATTCACCACGCAAGTATACCTCTTGTTGTAGGCTATGCTTTGATTGGTCTTGTTTGCTTTTATGTTATTCACTTTTCCTTTTTTCCGTCCACATCTGATCCATCCCGCACATCGTTTTTATGACAGGTTTGCAACACGACCACACAGTACATCTCGTGCGCGGAGCACCAGCTTCAGCTACTACTCCTGCCTCATCTGCCACGACTCCAACTTCTACACCTGCACCTGGTGGTGGTGGTGGCCTTCCACAAACGCCTCCTGGTTTATCTCAAACGGCTCCAGGATCAAATCCAACTGGTCTTGGTGCTTTCAGTTTTCCTAACTTTGGCGCAGGAGCCGGAGGTGGAGGAGGTGGATTTGGCATGGGTCTTCAAGAAATTCAACAGGTGCAACAGCAGTTGATGCAGAACCCTAATCTCATGAGGGAGATGATGAATATGCCTGCAGTGCAAAATCTCATGAACAATCCCGATCTGATGCGGAGTATCATAATGAGCAATCCACAGATGAGGGATATCATAGATAGGAATCCGGACCTAGCCCACATTTTGAACGACCCAGGAACTTTACGTCAGACGCTTGACGCAGCTAGAAACCCTGAGCTGATGAGAGAGATGATGAGAAATACAGACCGGGCCATGAGCAACATTGAAGCATCACCCGAAGGTTTCAATATGTTGAGACGCATGTATGAGACTGTTCAAGAACCCCTATTGAATGCAGCCACCATGGGGACTGAAGGTGGTGGAGATCTGGCTGGGAATCCCTTTGCCGCTCTACTTGGAGGACAAAATCTTGCACAGACTCCTGGACAACAAATACCTAGCATCAACCTGTCCAATTCAACTAATTCAGCCACGGGGACCCCTAATGCAGGAGCAGCGGCTGCAGCACCAAATACTGCTCCTCTTCCAAACCCTTGGAATCCAACACGTAAGTTAGTTTCGCCTCTCACGTCAATTGAGTCAACAACTGGGTGTTGTAGATAGTTCAGGAGCTGGAAGATGATTTTAACTGCAGAATGCGAAGTTATGCCCTTTCGAAATTTTTACAGCCCTCAGTGACATGGTTTTCTGTGGTGCTCATGACCTCTTTCTGAATGATTCTTATCTGTACCGAACAGTAACGAGTAAGATTCTTTTCAACCTTTGGACAAGTCCGAAGGTTGAAAAGAGTGGTAGAGCAAGAATGTAGCATTGGTTACCTTAGTTTGCGTGAGTAGTATTATCGTTGAACCATGGATAGAGCCAAGTAGGACATGTCGCTTACGAAGACAACACAAAATACCTGACATTATATCATGGAATGAGATTTTGATAACAGATTCGTTCTTAGTATGATGATGCTCTTACTTTGGTTTTCTCTGATTTCTGCAGCCACCCCAGGTGTAACAGGAGCAGGCGCAGGGGCGGCCCCGGGACCTAACCAGCCTGGTGCCACTCCTCTTACTGGAGCTGGCCTGACTGGTTTAAGGGGCTCTGCAGGCTTAGGAGGACTTGCTGGTTTGGGCTTGCCTGAGTTTGGTGCTGGTGGGGGACCTTTTGGAGTCGACCCAGCCATGATGCAACAGATGTTGCAAAATCCAGCAATTGTGCAGATGATGCAGGGTCTGTTGCAAAATCCACAGTACATTAATCAGGTCTGTTTCATCCCTTCTTAGACTCTGCACCTTTTCCCTAGAAATGATACTGAGAATACCTAGGTTATGTTTATGGCATGCCCTTCGCATTGGTGAATTGTCATCTCTTTGAAATTAGTCTCGCTAGAGAATTGCAAGATAGAAAATGGATGAAATCACATTGGAGTTATACAAGAATCATTCAAAGGTCTTTCTATAAATTTGCAGGTTATGAACATGCAACCACATCTTCGTTCGTTGTTGAATGGTAACCCCCAGTTCCGGGAAATGATGCAGAGCCCCGATTTCATTCGTCAAATCAGCAGTCCTGAGAGTTTGCAGGTACTTTCGCTTCCAAGAGCCTTCAATTTTTGTTGTTTTATTTAAATTTAGCTGATCAACCCAATAAGATAGATCTGACTTTTGCGTTGTTTGCAGCAAATGCTTCAAGTTCAACAAGCTGTACTGAGCCAACTACAAGGTCGGCAACAAGCTGGAGGGTACGTCTTTCGTTATATTTGATGAATGATTAGTAATCTGCATATTGGTTTTCCAAGTAGGGTGAGGAACATTGGAATGTTTTTGAAAGTCTCAATAATGTTAGAGTCCACGAATGTTCGACCCACCCTAATATCTGACGGTAAGATAATCGTATGAGTTGAAGATAGAATTTGCGTTTGTGTTCATGTTTGTACTCGTGTTTGTGATTTAAGGGTGTTCAGGAACCTTATTTAATTCTCACACCATGTCTTCTGTGCAGGACACCTGGGCAGCCTGGAGCTACTCCTGGCGCTAACGCTGGTTTACCCGATCTAAGCTCCTTATTAAGTATGTTTGGAGGACTGGGGAGTACTCTTCCAACAAACAATACAGAAGGTACATATTGTCATAACCCCCTAAATTAGTACCACATTGAACTTATAGCGGAGGTGTAGATTAACGGGGCCTAGAGTCAAAGTTTTGAGTCACTTGGTCTGATGATTGTGGATCAACTGATGATGTGGGATTTAGCTCTAGCTTAGACATAGAATTTTAGATCACTCTCACTTACATCAGTGTTAACGTTCCCATTTCACTTGTGCAGTTAATGCAATCCCACCAGAACAACTTTATGAAGCTCAGCTATCACAGCTCCAAGATATGGGATTTTATGACACCCAAGAGAACATCAGAGCGCTGGCTGCCACAGGAGGAAATGTTCATGCAGCTGTCGAGAGGCTTCTCAGAAACCCTGGCTAATTTGGAACAGTTTGATATATGGTGACCTGAATTAGCATACTGACTTCGGGTTTTACTAACCTAGGAGATGGTGTGTGGGCTGGCTGTACTTGATAATGGTCCACTTAGTATCTGCACTTCAATTCTGGCTAGTGTAGGTCTGAAGAGCAGCATCTTTAGGGACCTACTTTCGCTGTTGCAGTACAGAGAAGAAATGGAACTTTTTGAAGAAGCGTGCTTGTTGCTCTCCGACATTATGAGAGCAGTGTATGCTAAGATAAAGCTGCATATTGGGTTGTGGCTACTAAGACGGCAAGTCTTGTCGGGTGGGCATATAGTGGGGTGTACAGTGTTTATTGTTACCTAGACCTTCCATTACTGACACCGGGAGTGAGGTGGTATTCTTGTGCTTGGATCAATTGAGAGCAACCCTGCGATTTATGGTTTCCTTTGCATGGATAGCCTGGGGTAGAAGAACTTTCATCTTTTCTATTCAGTTGGAAGTCTGTCCGTGTCCAGACAAGAAACAATTCCCACACTCCATATTTGGGAATGTCATTCTGAATTGCTGTATAAGGGAAGAAAATTTGTAATGATTTTTGACAATCAGTGTACTATGCTAAATATATGTGTCATGTCATGAGATGACATGACTCCTCATGACATGACTCGCAGTGTGCACTCTCTGAGCTGAATGGGGTGCTCCCTGCAGAATTCGCTGCTGGAGATACGCTAATGTGGTTGCCATTGGTAGTTGCGGGTGTATGACGGGGGAGTGAATGGGTTTCACGATGTCCGTGGAGGGACTGTGAGAATCTGAAGGTAGGAAATCCAGCCATATCTTCTTTGGCGTTCATACCATCATGTAATAGCAGGAGATTCAAACTCAGAAGTTTGGAGGCGGGACTTTGAGGGCATGACTTCTTTGTTCCCAGTCATGCAATCTTCATGCAATGTGTCCTAGTTGGCAGCACCTTCCAAAACCAATCGAAGAAGTTTTTTCCTTTTTGAAACGTTTATGCAACTTTGGTGAAGTCGTCATGTACTTCTCCTTTGTTTATCTCAGAAGGGTCTTGAGTTTCTCATATTCTCCGGTTTTTCCAATAACTTTCAATTTCACATTGGTCTGTTTCCTCCATTATCTTCATCTGTCTTGAATGTTTATATCGACACCTTTCCTGCTTTCTCATACCATTATTACCCAGTCAGCGATTGTTTCTACAAGCCATCATTAGGTTTAATCTCGCCAGTGGTGATTTGCTGTGGAAGTGGTTGTGTGGCCTTCAACAGCTTCAGAGAGTCATCTCTGTACGTAATGATAATGTTGACTGGACATTATGTCATCTATAATATTTTGTACGTAGTCCGTTTCCATTTATCTTTGAGAGGGATAAGCAGCTCGGAAGGAGGAAGTATTCGTCATCACATCGTCATCGTGGCCTACAACTTGTATAATTACAGGTCATTATCCTCACAATTATCAATTGTAGGTTTTTAAAGGGAGGGGCTAGTTATCCCTCACTTAGGGCTAATTAGCCCTCACCCTACTATAACCTCATCTCTGATTGTTCGAATACTCTATTTTGGAAGTAGTTGCAACTCACTCACGAACCTATAACCTTGCATGGACCAATCGGAGAATTGCATCGACCAAGGGTATAGTAGAGTTTGGGCTAATTAGCCCCAAGTGGTGGATAACTAGCTTTTTGTCCTTGAAATGCTACTTGTACGACGACAGACCGTGTCTAGGAGTCTGTGGCACTTGCTGACGATGTGACGTTCGGTCAAATGTAAACTTACAGTAGAGTAATGAAAGTGGTCGTCCTTACAAGAAGCAAAGACGTCGAAAATCATCCGCGCAAGAGATAATTTCGGAAGTTTTGATTGATTGAAGTCCAGTCTCTTCAGCACCCTTTGAACGGACCGAAAGAAGATAAAGCTCAGTTATTTATGAAGCTGCAGGCACAGTACCGCGTATGACATTTTACTTCAGCAGTGCTATTTACAAATTTCGGAAGTGTTGAGAAGATAATCGTTTGTTGAGAAGATGAGTAAGATCAAGTTCGTCCGCTCGCTCGATATGGCGTAGTCTTCTGCTCATGTTTAGCGAGGCGATTTGAGCCGCATAGTTTTTCGGGCGGAAAGAGGCTGACAAGATAAACAAGGCCTCAACAAAAAAGGTAGTACTACGGATATACATGTACAATGTCGAAATTCGTGGTGTGCATTAAGTAATGAACGTTGCCTGCCATACTTGCAGAATCTGAACGTGAGCTGGAATTGGATCCATTGCTACAAAATGAACAGTGGCTATGCACGACGAGAAACCTATCTCGATGTACAACTGCGTTCTCTAAACTAGCTCTTCACGTCAATGTAGTCCTCTTACTTTTCAAACTTCTACTTAGCATGTCTAGTTTAACTAGAATTGTTGGAAACTAACTTTCCAAGATGGATAACTATGTCAGTAATAGTTTTATGGTTATTTTCCCTAGTATACTAGTAATAAGAAGTACATCTAGATTTTAATATATCATCATTGTAATTGTTTGGTTCCACAAGAATATTATTATCGATATTATGTCTAGTCTATTGCATATCTTAATACATCATAAATGCCCTTTATCAGATTTATGTGGAACCATATAAGACACCTTATACAGTTGGCTGAATATCTCTAATGTCAATTTTCAGTATTTTATTTTATATGTTCTATATGTAGGGAGTGGAATTAACCAGTAGTTTTTAATGGACTCATTTCCATATGCCAGATGCAGTAACGTTTGCATAAGGGTGATATTTGATTTTACAAGGATGCGAAAATGCAGATCCTCCAATAACCTTATAGCCCGTGTGATAAATGTTTTTAGTTACATGGTGGTGAAATACTTAGAAATTTGACGTATTGTGCTAGAATCCTTTTCAATCAAGTCAAGTAAAATTCATCATTTCATTCTTCGCATACTAATGTGGAGTGTATATCGTGACATGGACCATGAAAAAAATCACGAGGATGAATAACTTGGTAAAGATACTATGAAAGTACAACCCGCAAGGGAGTTTCTTTATTTTAACTCGAGAAAAGTAAATCTGTCATCGCTTTATAAAATGTACTCCGCATATGTGCAGCAAGGGGAGTTTGATGTCTAGAAAGGATTCCGCTGGCTGAAGACACGACCCTCCACAAGGGAACAAAATATTTTTATGTATATGAGACAATTCATCAGTTAGCGCTTTAAGGTACTAAAAGGCAGTTATATAACTTTTTTATGTATCATTTCTTGATAAAATATTTAACAATTTTTTTGGAGATTTTGATGTACTACGTTCCCAATATGTATTCTATCATTTTGTGACATTGTTAAATACTACTCATTAACAAGATGGTATCATGAACTTTGATCAAATATGTTAGTATCGAACTTTCACAACTTCCAGTACTGTTACAATCATTATTCCATGTTTTGCAGTATATTTTGTGAAAGATTACATGTAAAATATGTTGGGGATTAATAGAATGATGTGGCGAGGTATGTTGAAGTATTTTCGGATAATAGTGGAAGTTGAGCAATCATTTTGTTCTAAATTAGTTTTCCATCATTAAACTCTGTGATTTACTTATTTAAGAGGCGATTTAGTTCCATTCATTATGATTAAATCTACATTTTAGTTAGGAATATGGATGCCAAGTCTCACGTGGCGCGGTGAGACATATATTTCTTTTCCTTCACTAATTTATGACCATTTTTCGTCTTCAAAATTACAGTCATTCAGCAATTGGAACTATCTGGACCTACCTTCTTTAGGAACCTAGTATCTAAACATTTGTCACCAAGAGAGTTCCCTTCCATCCGGCCTTCTAGTTCACCCACGATCATTGTTTGTAAAGAGACTCATTGCGGATATGGCGGGTGTACATTGCGCGGCTGTATGTTGATAACATTACAAATCTGACGGCGATCGAAGAGAAAAATTCGTTACATATCATACGTATCTATCAGGACTCTCCAACCGAACATTACCCATGCAAAACGCGGTGCAAATTCCGCAGTACTAGAGTATTGGGGACGAAAAGAATACTCAAAAGATCGAGGGCCTAACTCCCACACATGCGTCGACTCAGTAGTCATCGCAGCACGCGCATACCCTCAGGAGAAATTTCATTCCGTCTCTAATTGGACAAAGTGGACAAGGAACACATCGAAATACATAGTTCCAATTGGCACGAATGCCCGTGAACATCAACAACCAAATACGAATACTTGGTGAACACACAGAGGACCAATTGGGTCGACGTAGTGCTGCGTATATACAGAGAGAAGAAGGGTGGACGCTAAACTAAATTTACAAAGAAACAGTAAATTTACATTATACAGAGATCTGTTTAGCTACAAGACTATTTGGCACCATGCTACAAGAGGTACAATGCATGGTGCAATGAACTAATGAGAATTTAAGAATGTCATGATCCATCATCCGGGGCAGGGCAGGGTCCCAGATGCGCAGGGACCGTAAATTAGGCTTCGATACATCCTCTTCCGCAGCGTGTGAAGATGAGCTGATTTCACCTCGTATGACTTCAGGGGCCATGCCTGGATCCGATATGTACAGCGTCCAGGCACCACTGAAGAGAAAGAATATGCACCGGCAATTGAATCATCGAGGGCTCGTGCAGACGAGAGCTGGGGGATTCCCAATTCCGACCTTCGTTGCTGAGCGAGCGACCTTCGAACTATCTAATACTCTTTGGTCATAACCTGGACGCGGGGTTGCGGCTCCTCCTCCTCCATCTCGGTCATGGGTTCGGGAGGCTTGAACTCGGGCGAGTCGAGATCCGCCAGGTTCTTCAAATCCACCATCGACAGATCGTCCAGCCTCCGGACGACGAGATCGGCCGCTCCGAGCTCGTAGATTGGGTGCTTGCCCGCGATGGCCACGCACTTCATCCAGGCGTCGTGCGCGGCTTCGATGCTGGTGTTGGAGTTTCCAAACACGATGCAGCGCTCGGGGATGAAATTCAAGCGCTCCGCCGCGTACTGGAACATCTCGGGGTCGGGCTTACCGCGGTAAGTGTCTTCGGCCGCGATGACCTCGTTGAAGAAGCCCTCCATGCCCACGGCTTCGATGGCCCTCTCGATGTACTTCCTCGGCCGCGTGGACGCGATGGCAATCGGAATTTCGTACTTCTTTATGCTCTCCACGAACTCTCGCGCGCCCGGCAGCAACCTGTAAGTCCCTTTCTGCATCTCCTCGTACAGCTCTTCCTTCCTCAGAGCCAATCTCTTCAGCTGCCGGAAATCCCGAGTCCAGCACAGGACCTCGCTCAGAGCCTGCTCGTTCTTCATGCCCTCCGCGCGCTTCAGAATGAATGTGGGCGGAGGGCGCCTTCCTTCCTCCTCCGCCAGCGCTGTCCATGACATGCGTTCCAATTCTACATCGTCCTCCACGATTACTCCCTCCCACTCCAGAATCACTCCCAGCCACCCGCAGCCCATGCGATGTTGGCGCAAGAGCGGATTTTGCAGCGACGTGTCGTCCGCCCTGTTCTTCGGAAAGAGAGATTTCACGGATTTGAGCTCCGACGCCTTGTACGAAGTCTCCAATGACTTCATGGCTTCTTTGTCCTTCGGCACCTGCGCTTCCTCGGTGACATCCATGGGAAACGCGAGAGCAGAGCAATCGATCCCCGTCCTTTCTCGCCTTGCCAAGAGAGCACCACGCCGGCATCTACTGCCAGCCAAGTCGAGCCGCAGCTGGAGGCCCATCAAAGCATTCGAGGCAGGGACCGAACACATCCTCGGCCCCGAGCTGTGCAGAGCGCATGGACAAGAATCCACGATCCAGGCCTGATTCGCGCACAGGAGCCCCAGACCTCCCACAGGCCGCACAGCCGCCATGGACGGACTCCCACCACAACCCACACGAGTGCTGAAGCTGAAGCAGCGACAATCACGAACCTTGCTTCTTCGTCGATCGCCCCAGCCTGTGCAAAACGCCTCTCGACACCAAACTCGATCTGAAACCTAACTCGAATCACTCACTCACAATCTCACACTCTCACTTCACCTACAAATCTCCCTTACAGGATATGCACACGCGCTTCCCTACTCGCGGGCAGGGCAGAGTCGAGCAGCAGCAGCAGCAGCAGCAGCAGCACAGGACGGACGACTCTCCGCACTCTCCACCGAGCCTTTTAGAAGAAGAAGAATCGATCGAATCAAAGAGAAGTGCCCGAAAACCAACAGCCAAACACTCCTCACAATACGCACAGATGCTGGAAACAATCACGACCTAACAGCTCCCAGATCCGATGCTTAAGTCTTTCTCGCGACGTTTGAGCCTACTCCTCCTCCTCCCTCGTGCTCTGGTCTGCTGCTGCTGCTGCTTCCAGCACCACACTGCGAAGCTCGAACCACTTCTTGCGTGCAACGCCGTCTCTGACCCGGTGACTGGACCGGATGCTCTGTGCGAGAGTGGACGAATGAGATCAGGTGGACTCGGGAAGTAAGGAAGGAAGGAAGGAACGCTGTGTGCTGGCCGGACCTCGCTCGGAAAGATCTACCGCAGCTCCAGCGCGATCTCTCTCGCCCACAGAACCGGAAAGAAGATTCGGCTGACAAGTTTCCCGAAGGGCAGGGGAGGGCGGAGGGGGGGACTGCGCTACGACGACGAGCAGCAGCAGCAGGGGAGGGGGAGGAGGAGGTGCTGCTGATGTGAAGGTTTGTCCACCTCTTTCCTTCGTTCCGTGGATAAGGATCCAATTTAGCGCCGCCTTTCGTCGCACACGTGTTCATTCTCGTTGCGACTCGAGACGTGGGAGGGCGAATGTCGTCGCTGTCCATCGACGGTGACCATCGCGCTTCGCGACGTCGTTGCTTCTTGTCTTCTCTCTGGCCTCCGCACTCGCAAATATCTCGTCACTCCTTCATAATATCTCCTTCTCGCGTTTGTGTCTTATTCTCATCTTTACCGTTCATCGGTTCTCATCGCATCGTGGTTCATTTCCGATCATTTCTCTCCGTGCCAATGATACTTTTCATTGACGCATGTTCTTGCATTTGGTTCTTTGGGGTCTTCCTTGCAAAAGAAATTAATCAAATCATCCAACAGTACTTCACATGAAATTGTTTATGTTTGAAATAAAGGAATTATTATTATTTTATATTTTTTACAACATAATATTTTTTCCGATTATAATCATTGGTGATATTTATTTTAGTATATATACACTCAACACACATCTACTCCGTGTTATTAATGATATACATCAAAAAATACCTACACTCATATTCATTTTACCAAATTTCAGTTAATATTTTTATCAATTTATGTTTTCTTAGTACTAATTAGATAGACCAGTTAACCAATCATTACACAAAAAAATTGGTTGATAAAAAATTCAGATGTTAATTAATGTAATTTATGAATATATATAACCTCGCAGAGTTGAACCATGTCATAGTTGTCTGATTCTTTGTATGTGTGTGTCATTTTGTAATTTTTTGGACCACCTAAATGTTGTCCGCTTCATCGTATGTATGTCTCACTTTGTTCTCCAACGATAGTTGGAGGACAATTGCTACCAAAGCATCGTTGGGTTCGTTAAAGCCGCTACCACGTTTGTCTGCATTTGTTAATGAGGAGGTCAACATTGCGCTGTTGCGTTCGTTATTATCGCTATTAGCATCCTTGGTTACATTCCGCTCCGCCACACAGCACGAAGAGATTTTTGTGATAGAACGGAGAGAGAAGTGATTCTTTGTTTCTGTGCATATTCCACAGTTCCTGTTGGCTTGGCATGTCAGCTGCTCCTTGGTCCATGCAATACATCACGGATTAGATCCTCAAGAAAATGGACGTGGAAGTGAATTAAAGTGTCAAATGAGTAGACAATCATCGCCAATTCATCATCTTATGCAACACTCGATAGTGATGCTTTCTTTTTCAATTACGAATTAGTAGCCTTGCACATGCATAGTTTTTGTTTTGCTCACTTATCTTCGCTTAGAGCACATTAGAGCTTCAAGTTTATTGCAGTGCTATAAGCTGCAGTAGAAATAGATTGCCCATGGCTACCGTATAATATTGTGAGGAGATCAAAATAGGCTCCATAGTCTGTCAATCCACCGGATTGGCTTTACGGTTGTAGTTACAATTTCTAAAAACAAAATTCCGAATTTGTTGGACATTAAATAACTATCAAACGTCCAACAAGCCTGGTGGAAGGTGTTGTGATTTACCTACATACTAAAGCCGAGTAGCACTCAAAGAAGGAATTTGCTTGACTTGCCTTGAGATGCTCATAGTGATTTTTTCATTCTCTAAATAGAATAATCAATGTTGCTTATACTCTACAAATAATACTTGATTTGAATGGCAATTTCTTTCTCTTTCTACAAATGATAGTCCATCACCAGCTAGTTGTGAACTCCTGTACCTCTTCATGCTTGTGATTGCCATCCAAAATCCTGTCAATTAAATTTCTATGGATTCTATTACTAGAAAGCTAGAATATCAATCTCTATAGATGTGACTTGACATATGTAAAAGCATTTAGGCTTAACTCGGAATTTTTGGATTAACTCTAGTTAGTTGCCAAAATTGACTCTATGCATATTAGTTGACATTTGTTATTTTGCCTTTGAAAATTTTATATGAATTGACTAAATTTATCCCATTGACCGTAGCCCCTATCTGGAATGAAGCACATACATCTTCTTCTCATTTGTGTTGTGTCTTGTCGTGGTGATTTCCTATTTTTGATTTTCTCACATGTTTCTCAATTTTATTTTTTTCAATTTTGGATTTCACTAGTGAAACGTATTATTACAGCTTTGGAAAGAAAACAAAAACAAAAAAACAAATCAAGTTGATGTTGTTTGATCTGTGATCTACGTACTAGAATAGAATCAAGTTTAAAACTTTGGTGCGAAAGCAAGAGTTGACAAAGCTGTAAAGGAAGCTGGAGATGGGACAAGCGACATTTTATTCTAAGAAGCATAAACTTTCACTAGTGAGGCACAATGATGGAACAAGACATGAACACCACAAGTTGATCCAATCCCAATTCAGTCCAAATTGAAAATTACAATTGGTGTTTGGTTCACGAATCAAAGAACCTAGACTTTTGATACATCTATCAAATAAACCCTAATCTTTTTGCTCTTGACCGTGTATTGCCAATACACAATGAGGCAATGTGGCGGCTCACTCGATTTCTACTAGTCATTCTTGTGGATGATAGTTTGAGAGTTCCACATATGTACAATGAGAGAGACTGAAAAGTTTTAGTAAGTTAGTATGAGTATCTTCGGAAGTTAAGTATTGAGTGCATGTCTGTAAGACCAGAGGATGTATGTGTGAAATAGTACTATAAGTAGCCAAGGATTTGATCATGGTCAGCTTAGGTATGACTAAGTCTAGCTAACTATAACTAAGTTTATCTACTGATGGCTAAGTTTAGCTATAATGTATATACTTGAAGTAAGAATACAAGGGGATCTAGAAGATTTGGATGTGCACTTCAATTTTATCTCTTACAAAAGTCTAGATGACAAGTAAAAGAACTTTTCACTTCATGTTTAGTTTTGAATTGTATGACAAATTAATGAAAACTTCATTGGTTAGATTAAGTTTAATGTTGATTTAGTGACAACTGAAAGTTCTAAAATGGAAAATTGTCAAAAATGGCATGTCGCCACCTCAATCTAGGAATTAATAAAAATCTAGAAGTTTTAGGAGGCGAATGACATGTTGTCAAGTATTGAAAACTAGTATGATAACTTTTTGAGTAATATATATAGAGAGATAAGAAAGAAACTTTCAAGTAAGTTTGAAGAATTCATGTGTAAAGACTTGTTTCATCAATGAAAAAGTGATGTTTTTAGTATCTTAGAGTGTCGATGTATGTGTGAACTTGAATGATAAATGGAAAAAAATGTATGAGAGTATGATTGGATCATGATTATGAGGAGGATTCATAGTAATCTAAAACAATTATAAACTACTGCAAAGCCATGTGAGGTAAACCTGAGTGAGAGCCAGCCCTGAGAATTCAGTTTTGGTCTAATTGAGAAGACTGTTTTTTTCTCCATAGGTAGTGCACAAGAGCAGAGATGTCAAGGTTAGAAACTCAGTAGGGTGAGATGACTCAAGCAAGAATAACAGTAAATTTTTACTTGCAGCTTGTTTGATTCTTCCAACCATGAGCATGTTGTATAAAGCTGGAGTAAGTAGAGATGCTCATGTGTTTAAAATAGAATTGTGAGGTCTTGTAAATCATATGCTTTGATTCGAGAGCAATCGCTATAAAATGAATCCATACGAACTATTTGATGCGATGACATTTTCATCAAAATCTGCTTTCATACACCATATACTCAAATGAATTAAGTATTGTTGTGTTTAGTTGTGTTGTGTTATCGTTGAGCTGTAAATCTTACAACATCGATTATCGATCCCATCCTGGTTATCTATCAAATAAGACAATTTCTGTGGAGCAAACCTAAAGCGATAAACGTTAAATCATTAACAAAGGTTATAGATGGATTTTCTACGCCACTTTTATCAAGCAAAACGATCGATCAATCTAAGAGGAAAGGAAATTTGCCCCGCTAGTTCCACCATTTTCAACATTCTCAAAAAGATGCTAGAGAGCAAAGAGTTGAGTATATAGGCCGGACTCGGGAGCTTCTTCAGAATCGTAAGGCAGTGTCCGAATAGGTTCCAAGGATAGATCTGCGAGAAAATGAGCAACCGTAGAAAAATAGACGAGCAAATTGTTTTAATTTTTGAATTGATCAATTGAACTAATGAACAAGCAAGACAATGACACACAAACAAACATAGGTGAACGATATTGATCTATCATAAAGATGATGACAAAAATTTGACGATCAAGTGACAAATCTATCGATCAAATGCGATAAATTTGTCAAATTATGTGAATCAATCAAGTGATACGGCAAGCAAATCCGCGAGCAAACGATTGTCAACGCTTGCTCACTCGCAAACGCAAACAAGCACATCAACACTGGAACACGCGGCACTCTATCGCATGGCAGCAGCAGCGCGAGCAAACACGTATTGACTTTTGACTTTGATTTTCAACAATATATTTCCTTCAAAAAAAATCAAGTAATCTATTTTTTTTTATGGAATAGTTTTTCAAATAAATTATTTTTTCCTAGACTCTAGATATAGGTTGGAAACTTTTATAAGGTAAAGGATGAACAATAAAGAAGAAACTGCCACAACTTTGAGCATTTGTCAGATTGATATGGTAAATAGTAAGATCAAAGCATAACTTTACAAGATTGTCAAGTACGATCAACATGGCGATTATTTGTTTTGAAAAAAGTAGTTTTTCAGAAAGTTAAAGGTCATGAATCTTGGCATGTTGTTGATGGCAAAACTTTCTACTTTCAACAATTTTGAATGGAAGTATCTCCAAGAACAGATTATGAGTATCGTCATTCTTCATCTACAACCTTTGATCTTGAAGCAAATGAAAGAATACAACGAGATCACTCAATAGTTGGAGTCATTTTCATGTCGGTTTCATTGCAAACAATTTACTAATAGGTTATACGACTCTTTAAAATTGATGAACTTCAAGTTGAAAGAATCTAAAACCAAGATCCAAGATCACATCTATGTATTGGATTCACTTGTGATAAAT